TACTCTCCCCACAAACACTTCTGCACCTCACTCATATTCTGCAACAGTGCTGGGGAATTTTTGAACGTAATTTAATACTGAAGAGGTGATCACATGTGAGACAGAGACAGATGCGAAGGGACAGCAGGAATCAAGGGAACACGTTGCAATTGAAAGACTCAGATGAATCACATGGATGTTAGGAAAGGTATTTCTTTATGTCACAGAGTTGCCCCCATGAAGTGGAATATTGGGAAGTGATGTTAGTGGAGCAAGATTCATACATAGCTTTATAGAAGAGTATATGATAATATTATGTTGTCATGATAACTGGGCCAGTACCCACAAGGAGGGGGGCCCGGAGCTTGATCACCCATCACTACAACTAAAGTGACTTACAGTTTAACTGCATACACTACGACCCTCCTTCTGTGCGCTCTTACTCCCATCTCCATGTCTCACCGCACTCGTTTTCCTGAACCAAATGTTGCTCCGGCAAATGTTTTTGTCTCCAGTATTATAATCAGTGCAACAGCATGCTCCTGTGAGCAGCCTCGCACAGCAAAAGCACGCGACCCTGTAAACCAAGCCACGAGTACCATGACCGTTCAAAATAAAATACGTGAATCATCTGTTTCGCTCATTTAATGTCGAAACCCGTAACAACGTTCCTAGCCTCTGGCATAATTTTGTAATATTTATATGTATATATATATATATATATATATATATATATATATATATTATATATATATATATATATATATATATATATATATATATATATATATATATATATATATATATATATATATATATATATATATATATATATATATATATATATATATATATTAATTATTTTCCTTATCTGAATTACCTTAATTATCTTAATTTCTCTCATTACTACAGTATACTTAATCACCTTCATTTACATAATTGCTTCAGTGCATTAATTACTTTTACGTAATTAATTGCCTTTGAGTGCTTCCTTGCCTAAGATAACAACTTTAGAGAAATTACTTTCCGTAATATGCCTAATTACTGCAGATTTAATAAGCGTTTGATTATTTTTAATTACTTTATAATAATTAATTAATGAATATACGTAATTACTTATGCATGAGAACACTACAGTATTTACCTGGGGTATACCTAGATGTATACTCCATAAGTATACTTAATTGCTTTAGAGTAGTTAACTGCGTAAGTATTCTTAATTGCAGAAGTACACTTAATGACTACAAAGTCCTTAACTGGATGAATATATTAATTACCTGATTGATAATCATGACGATAACGAGTGTCAACAATTTTGCTTACACTTTTTTTTCTTAATGTTTAGCGTCACTTGTTTGTATTTTTCTCTCAGTTCCTCACTGACATTGTCACTGAGATCTTCCTTCAGTCGTGGTGTTGCATTTTCCTGTTTTCTAATGCTTTCTGGGCTTTCCTGTTTTCCTGTTTGGTGATTGTGTGTTTTTTTTATAGGAATGGTCTGTACTGGCTGATTTTTGGTCGGTTTTTCTTCTTTTGGTTTGGTGTGAGGAAAGAACCGGAGGAACTTGTGGGTGTTCGTTGAGGTGATGGGGAGAGTAGTTCGTTGTTTCCCCTCTCTGAGCAAGGGGACGGCACTCTCTGACTAAGGGGACGACGTTCCCTGATCAACAGGCTTCCTATTTTAGACCAATAGTCCAAAGAGGCAGCAGGAGTCTTGGAGGAGAGGGGCGTGTCTCTGTGCCTGCGTATATGTGTGGTACTGGTGGTGACGAGGAAGCAACCAGTTGGTACTTGCCTCACTCCGGCCGACAAGAACTGCCGACTGATTCCCTCGTTCCAACCACGCTTATCTTCCCCCATCCTGAGATCCCCCTCCCCCTCATCCTCCTCCCCTTATCCCCAACGTCTCTTTATCTCCCCTCCTACGTTAACACTATTACCCTCCTCCTTTTCCTTCCCCCTCCCCCTTCCGCTTTGCGTTCCCCTTCTATCTCAGGCACTGTTTGTGTTTATGTATGTATATACAATATGAATTGAGAAATGTACTCCGGCACACACACACACACACACATACACACATACACACACAACACACACACACACACACACCACACAACACAACCAACCCACACACACACACACACACACATCACACATACATACTGTAATAACTAAAAAAGCAGAGGTCTTTACCAGAATGCCACAACATCTTAGGTATTCACTGAGGAACTACGGAGTGCAAGTTTGAGTCCAAGTGGACACACTCATTAGAGTTCAGTTGCACATCAATGATGAGAGTGTATCTTTCACTCATCACTGACACAACACTTCAATTACTTGCCATTTTCTTCTATATCCTATATTTCATTTCTTGTCCTTCTTTTCCACCTTCTATTATTCAATTATTTTTCCTCCTTCTCCTCCTTCTCCTCCTCCTTATCTTCCTCCTTTTCCTCCTCCTCCTCTTACTCCTCTACTTCCAATTTTCAATTCCTTTCCCCCCTCTTCCATCTCTTATTATGCAATTCCGTTTCCTCTGCATTCCTAACATTCATTTTTCCTCCTATTTTACTCTCACCGTTAGCCATTTTTTTCCCTGCACATATATTCACTGTATTTCAGTTTTCTTCCTTCATCCCACGTTATCCAGTGTTTTTTTTTTACCTCCTCTTCCATGTCTCATTGTTCAATCAGATTTACTTCCCCTCAATCGTGTATTAATCAGTTCCTTCACCTCCTCATCAATTCCCACGTTATTCAGTCCATTGAAACATAGAACGAATTAGAATACTCTTGCAACAGAGGTCAGTGTCCTCAGAGAGAGATAAAACTGTCCCCATTTCTCTTCTCTTCACGCGAATGGGATATCCATCAACACCATTAAACCTCTTTGATCTCACCTGTTGCATATATATATATATATATATATATATATATATATATATATATATATATATATATATATATATATATATATATATATTATATATATTAATATATATATATTATATATATATATATTAGAGAGTGATCCGCAATTTCTCGACTCGGGAATTTATTCTATTATTATTTTATTATTATTGTTATTATTAATTATTATATTATTATTATTATTTATTTTTATTATTATTATTATTATTTATTATTATATTATCAAAACTAATCGCTAAGCCCACATGGGTCATACAGATCTTCCTCGTTTTGACTGTCCTCCCAGTCTAATAAATTCTCTTACTTTTACGAAAGTAATTGACTGGACAGGCGGTGCAAAATACCCCCAATGAAAATTAGGGTCGCCATTGGTACACTAAGAGAAAACACCGTAAGTGTCCGGGGCCCAAGTCTGTTCAACAGCCTCCCACCATGCATAAGGGGAATTACCAATAGGCGCCTGGCTGCTTCAAGAGGGAGCTGAACAGATACTTAAAGTCGGTGCCAGATCACCTTGGCTGTGGTTCGTACGTTGGACTATGTGCAGCCAGCAATAACAACCTGGTTGATCAGGCCCTGATCCACCGAGAGGCCTGGTCATGGGCCGGGCTACGGGGGCGTTGATCCCTGGAATGCCCTCCAGGTAGACTCCAGGTAAAAGAACTTTCTTTTCTCGTAACTCCAGTTGTGTCAGGAGGCTCCTGTATTTTGCCTTCCTTCTATCAATATTTGCAAAAGTTTAATACGCTTCGTCCTCTGGATATTAAACTTGCACCTCGTCAAATTGATATACTTCGTAGCATTGTGGCTCATTCCTCTCCTGGAAAAAATGTCGGGGGAAAACGACGTTTTGGCGAAACTCAGTACAACGACATAGGATTGTTATGTGATCACTCGTGAAGGTAAACAAAACGTGAACTCCTCTCCTGAAACTCCAGACCTCCAACATTGGGATTCGATGCTGCTCCCCGGGTATCCAATTTCTAGATGGATACTTCTAATGTTTATCTCCTACTCAGCTCTTGCCTTCTATATAACTTATTGAAAAAGGACACCTCCCTTCCTGACAAACGTAAGTTTCAAAACACAAGGGAGTGTTCACACTGCTGACACTAAAAATGTTATTGTTTATCATGTTTAGAGACCATATCCACCACATATACTATTATAAACATCTCTCCCTCTTGTAGGCACCACAGACGCTCTTCTTGTCTCTCCCTCCCTGTCTCTTCCCTCCTGTGTCTACGTATCAATCAGTTTATTTAATTTCCATAATTTCCAAATTTTAATTTCCATAATTTGATAAAAAGAAATCCAATCAAATTTTTGTCTCAATTTTATGCCGGTCAAGATTTTTTTTTCATTATTTTACCATCTGGTTTTAATTTCAGTGACCTGCCAACCAGGTTTCTCTTTCATGAATGTCCTGCCCATCAGGGTTTTAGTTTTCTGCCCAGCAGGTTTTTACTTCAGTATTCTGGCAATCAGGTTTTGCTTTTACTAATGTGCCAATCAGGATTTTATCCAAACAGTTTCATACCAATCAAAATTTTGCTAACAACACCCCCTGCCAATCAGAATGCTGCTTCAATAACCTCCTGCTAATCCAGATTTTGAGCATTCCTTTGCATGTCCAGATTTTATGAGGGGATTCTATTAAACTAATTTATTTTCAAAAGTTTATTGGAAGAAATTCACAGTATTTGGAGACAGGGAATTATGAAAAAAAAATCATAATTTTGGAAATTTATTCACGCAGCATAAAATAAAAATGAAATACACTTGAGTTATCTTATTGTATAATAGAACCTACGTACAGTTATACAATAGATCCTACGTACAATGATTATAATGATCCAGGTGGTAACGCTGACGATTATTATTATTATTATTATTATTATTATTATTATTATTATTATTATTATTATTATTATTATTATTATTATCAGTAGTAGTAGTAGTGGTAGTAATTTTATTATTATTATTATTATTATTATTATTATTATTATTATTATTATTATTATTATTATTATTATTATTATTATTATTATATACACTGTAATATATATTAAGTTAGCATTGATTAATAAAATAAATGTAATGAGATAATGATGGTAATTAAGGATAAGGCAATAACTGAATTATCGTAAAATGCGTGACAAAACACAGGTGTGTCTTGTTAGAGAAAAGACAACACAGATGTTGAATTCGCGGATGTTAGATGTGCTGCAGTTGCTGTCGCTGCGGATGTTAGATGTGTTGCAGATATTTATGTATCCCTCGTGCTGGAATCTGGAGTAACACAAGACATGGACCCAGAGCTAGATAGCAACTATGACTTGAGACCACAGGGAGCCATGTACAACACACAGCTTAATACAACACTTACGCAACACAAACATCGCCATGCAACACTCACGCAACACAAGCATCATCATACAACACAAACATCGTCATATACAACACTCACGCAACACAAACATCGCCATGCAACACTCACGCAACACAAACATCGCCATGCAACACTCACGCAACACAAACATCGCCATGCAACACTCACGCAACACAAACATCGTCATGCAACACTCACGCAACACAAACATCGCCATGCAACACTCACGAAACATAAACATCGCCATGCAACACTCACGCAACACAAACATCGCCATGCAACACTCACGCAACACAAACATCGAAATGCAACACTGGCACAACACAAACATCGTCATGCAACACTCACGCAACACAAACATCGCCACGCAACACTCACGCAACACAAACATCGTCATGCAACACTCACGCAACACAAACATCGTCATGCAACACTCACGCAACACAAACATCGCCATGCAACACTCACGAAACATAAACATCGCCATGCAACACTCACGAAACATAAACATCGCCATGCAACACTCACGCAACACAAACATCGCCATGCAACACTCACGCAACACAAACATCGTCATGCAGCACTGGCACAACACAAACATCGTCATGCAACACTCATGCAACACAAACATCGTCATGCAGCACTCGCACAACACAAACATTGTCATATACAACACTCACGCAACACAAACATCGTCATGCAACACTCGCACAACACAAACATCGCCATGCAGCACTCACGCAACACAAACATCGCTATGCAACACTCACGCAACACAAACGTCGTCATGCAACACTCACGCAACACAAACATCGCCATGCAACACTCACGCAACACAAACATCGCCATGCAACACTCACGCAACACAAACATCGGCATGCAACACTCGCACAACACAAACATCTTCATGCAACACTCGCACACCACAAACATCGCCATGCAACACTCACGCAACACAAACATCGTCATGCAACACTCACGGAACACAAACATCGTCATGCAACACTCGCACAACACAAACATCGTCATGCAACACTCGCACAACACAAACATCGCCATGCAACACTCGCGCAACACAAACATCGCCATGCAACACTCACGCAACACAAACATCGCCATGCAACACTCACGCAACACAAACATCGAAATGCAACACTCGCACAACACAAACATCGTCATGCAGCACTCGCACAACACAAACATCGTCATGCAACACTCACGCAACACAAACATCGTCATGCAGCACTCGCACAACACAAACATCGTCATGCAACACTCACGCAACACAAACACCATCATGCAGCACTCGCACAACACAAACATTGTCATATACAACACTCACGCAACACAAACATCGTCATGCAACACTCGCACAACACAAACATCGCCATGCAGCACTCACGCAACACAAACATCGCCATGCAACACTCACGCAACACAAACATCGTCATGCAACACTCACGCAACACAAACATCGCCATGCAACACTCACGCAACACAAACATCGCCATGCAACACTCACGCAACACAAACATCGAAATGCAACACTCACGCAACACAAACATCGTCATGCAACACTCACGCAACACAAACATCGTCATGCAACACTCACGCAACACAAACACCATCATGCAGAACTTGCACAACACAAACATCGTCATATACAACACTCACGCAACACAAACATCGCCATGCAACACTCGCACAACACAAACATCGTCATGCAACACTCACGCAACACAAACACCATCATGCAGCACTCGCACAACACAAACATCGTCATGCAACACTCGCACAACACAAACATCGTCATGCAACACTCGCGCAACACAAACATCGCCATGCAACACTCACGCAACACAAACATCGTCATGCAACACTCACGCAACACAAACATCGCCATGCAACACTCACGCAACACAAACATCGCCATGCAACACTCACGCAACACAAACATCGCCATGCAACACTCACGCAACACAAACATCGCCATTCAACACTCACGCAACACAAACACCGCCATGCAACACTCACGCAACACAAACATCGCCATGCAACACTCACGCAACACAAACATCGCCATGCAACACTCACGCAACACAAGCATCATCATACAACACAAACATTGTCATACAACATTCGTATATTAACGAGATAATTAAAAAGCTTTATAGTAATTATCTTCATATTTTTAAATAAAGAAAATTAACACTTGTCTAGTAAGACAATAAAGGAAGAACAAGAGTCAGAACACCGTCAGTGGAACAATACACAAATATCCCGCACATAGGCCAGACAAATTTATGACGACGCTTCGGTCCAGATAATGGACCAGATAATGGTCCAAGTCGAACCGAAATGTCATCATGAGTTTCAGTAAAGATCAGTACTGTGACTGGCTGAGACTCGAACCAGGAACATCAGTCTTGTATATAATAGCACTACTGATAAAGTAATCTGTTAGCTGAATCACAGAATAAAATTGTCTAGCTTAAACATGCCAGTACTCATGTTTGTAACAAGAGGAAAAACAGCATTGTTGACTATAACTGAATAATGATGACCTCTTACACGTACACATCATTCATATCTCACATGATCGTGTATAATATACTGATATAGGCTGCAGATATAATATATAGGTTTAGCCTGTTTTAAAATAAGGTGGGCAGGATTAAGCCAATTTATATTATTATATAATATAATATATAATATATATATATATATATATATATATATATATATATTATTTATATATATATATATATCGTGCCGAATATGTAAAACTGGTCAATTAGCAAGAACTTATTTAAAATTAAGCCCTTTGTAAAATTTTCTCTTATACGTTTAAAGACATGTTTTTTTTCATTAATAGTAATGTAAAAAAAATTAATTTTGCACCAAAAGAATCTTAGAAAACTTACCTAACCTTATTATAACAATAACAATTTATTTTAGCCTAACCCAACTAAATATATTTTAGATTTGTTTACAATAATTTAATACTAAACAAACACAGTGAAATATATTTTTTTAGTTAGGTTCAGAATGATTTTGGCGAAATTATTGCATACACAAATTTTCACTTGTCTTATATGGCAAGATGAGCGTTGCTATTTAAGCCAAGATTGCAAATTCTGCCTATTCGGCACGAATATATATATATATATATATATATATATATATATATATATATATATATATATATATATATATATATATATATATATATATATATATATAGCAAAACAACCACTCTGAAAGAATAGAGAAATTCCAAGCGCTTTCGTGACTACTCACATTATCAAGGAACTATGATAGTTCATAGTTCCTTGATAATGTGAGTAGTCACGAAAGCGCTTGGAATTTCTCTATTCTTTCAGAGTGGTTGTTTTGCATATTCTGAAATCACCTGTTTACTGTGATCTTATTGCATATATATATATATATATATATATATATATATATATATATATATATATATATATATATATATATATATATATATATATATATATATAATCATATATCACATAACATCAACGTATCATGTGTTAACTGGAGACTCTCACGTTAGAGTTCAGGACAGCTATTATTGGACGGAGGATCGAGTCTGCCCCCCGCTATGCGCTCAAGGATCTCGGCACATACTTAGCTGATGGAGGCCCTGCGCATGGCTCTGGTGATAGCATGGATGAAGCAAGCTATCACCACACACAAGACAAACAGCAGAGAAGCCAGCACCAGCAGACCTATGTAATAGCCTTGACGGTTTCTTCTGTCATTCTCGTCTGTGTTGGAGATAAGAAAGGAAGATTAGCGAACGGAGAATCGAGCCGCTATTACTCAAAACACAAGTGCTAATCAGCATGCTCAACAAACAGACGTAAGACTGTGAATTCATCAGACATATCAGTCATGAACTCACACACTCCCATATGGACGGAGGATCGAGCCTTTACCAGCAGTGAGTAACCCACACGGGGATACACAAAAACACAACAATAAAATTATCTGAGTTCATACAGAAATAACCGGATTGCTCAGATTATCAGAGATTAAAAAATTATATTATATATTAAAAAGTGACTTTAGCATTATGATACTTGGATCATTTATCCAGGATAAGAGACTGGATAAAACATCCATGGGTTAAAATTGATTATCTCCCATTCCCCAGGTGCTACGTGACTCCTACGAACTTAGCGCTTCCCCATGAGAGTAACAAGAAAGAAATACCGAGAAGCTTCATTTCAAAGCCTTCTTTCAAAGATTCACTGACGAAATCTCTTGCTACTTTTGCCTCACGAACGCTCATCTGCGCTACAGTTCCAGAACTTACTTTTGTTATCCTTTGATCCGCCTTTGGATCCGCCTGTGGATCCGCCTGTGGATCCACCTGTGGATCCGCCAGTATATCCGCCGCCGCCGGTCGAGGGTTTCTTGATGACACTGACGGATCTCTGGTAGTGGAAGGGCTTGCCTAGACCCATCACCCGCACCTCCACCACATAGACACCCGGGTTGTCGTACCTGTGACGCTGAGTGACTGCCCAGCCGTCTGAGAGTAGCAACAGTGAGAGACAACAGTGAAGGCTGTTAGCATTATAGAGAGAGAGAGAAAGAGAGGTAGTAATGATAACTGTCGTTAATACTAATGAAATTTATGATACCAGTGCTAGTATTATTACTACTATTGCAATTATAATAACTGGTTTTGTTACATCTATTACTGTTACTGCAATAACCTATACACACCCTTGAAGTTGCCTGTGTACTCATGCGATTTGTCACCGAAGTCAATTTTCCAAGAGGTATCTTTCTTGGAGCCGGCCTTCTGGACCTGTGTCACAACACTAACTTTAGATGAATTATGAAGCATGTTGGCGGTAGTCAGAAACACATAATGGGACCAGGGACTGCGCACCCGCTTCAATTTTATTTTTAAAGGATACCAAAACTACATGAATTATAACAAGATTTTGGATTTTTCGATAGGTGAACAGGGACAATGCCTATAAGGAAACTCGCTCATACTTCTCGCCCAAACCAGTAATCGAACTCAGGTTCTCACCTTTGTCAAACCAAATGTTCTTCCACTGAGCTAACAGCATTGAAGGCTGTACCTCACACACACAGCTGGGACCGACCTTCCACCGTACAACATTCAGTCGTATCATTAAGGACATGACCGAATTCTCTGGTCTAATCTCAAAATCTAACTTAAGTCTTAAATATAACTTAGACTTCCGACTGGAACTTGATATCTGAGACGTGATCAACACAGTTTGATTCAAGTTTACTACGGTAGCTCACACTCGGGCATAACTTAGGTTTGTTAGACTTGAGACTGAACTTGGGATAGTGAGTCAAGTTTGGGACAGTTATAGAATTCTTTTTCATGATTGACCTTGAAAATTTTAAGTTTAAGCTTAAGTTTGATTTTTAAAGTTTGGGTTTTTAGACAAAATAAATTTTCTGAATGAAATGTAAACGAAAATAATAAATAATAAATAAAGATAAGCATAAGATAATATTACATATTAATCAACCGTCACAAGCCTACACTCACAGCCTATCTCACAGCCTCCTCTCACAGCCTAGCTCCACTGTCTTCCTTCACAGCCTACCTTCACAGCCTACGTCCAAGCCTACTCACAACCTACCTCCACAGCTTGCCTCACAGTCTACTTTAACAACCTATGTCACAGCCTACCTCACAGCCTACTTTACAGCCTACCCTCACAGTCTACCAGTTATACCCGCAGTGTGAGGCTCTACTGTTCAAAGTAGCGAGAACAAAATCATTATGCAAATAACCTACTCTGTGTGATAGTTTTATGGCAGGAAATAAATTTAGCTACATTTCCTCGTCCTGTCCTATCACATAGGACTGATTTCACACTTTAAACAACCAAATCTATCTGTCTGAGATAGGAAGATACCGTCCAACACGTTCCTAATAATTCGGTAGCTACGACAGCTTGACGGGTATCTCTCCAGCAGGACTGACGTTACTATTACATGGGCAGGACCTTCTCTCTCTGAGTCTTACATTCACAATAATGAGATACTTGCCTCCAGGTTGGCTTTCACTGGGTCTCCAACAAACACTTCGCTCTTCTCCAGGGAGAAGGACACTGTCACTGCCCTCTCCTCGAAGAACCTGACCAAGGTATTAACAAGTTAGTAACTCTGTTGGAAATAGTACACAGCTGTTTCTTCTACATAAAGGACCTATATATGCTCTGTCTATCCTTTAGGTATCTTTCCTTCGTTCATACACATAAATTAATCATTACACTCACTTAATCCTTCACTCATTGTTGTGTGACGAGAATATAAACATTTATATTTCCAAACTACACTGTGTTTTGTCTCTGGTGCAATGTTAGAGGTTGTGTAGCTATGTCTTATCATCTACTTACGCAGGGGGAATATTTAACCGATCTTCCCTCTCTCCATTCACCCAGGAAATCCCTGCAACAGTGTTGAAACAATTATGAACGTATGAACTTGTATATTATATTATATTATGTTATGTTATATTATTTTACATTATATTATTATATATGATCTTTCACAAGCGATACTTACTGTAACTAGTTGGAAGTTCTCTTAAACGTAAACAAGTCAGGTGCATACTAGACATACTATACCTTACAGTCAATGTTTGCACTCTATAGTCAATGTTTGCACTCTATAGTCAATGTTTGCACTCTATAGTCAATGTTTGCACTCTATAGTAAGTCTTACACTCTGTAGTGAACTCTCATCCTACATTGTTTTGTTTACACCCTAGACACACACACACAAACACACACACACACACACACACACACACACACACACACACACACACACACACACACACACACAAAACACACACACACACACAATCTCTCATTTCCTCGACACAAAATATTTTTACAGTCAATATTTTGATTATATCTCTCACATCTTGTTTGCAATTTAACTAGTTTTACAGTGAGGAGGATGGTGAAGTGTAGACAATGGTACCTGAGGTAGGATAACACCTCTTATGGAGTAACAATGAACTCTGTGTATTGCGTGAATACTGTAAATAGGAACTCTGTAAATAGGAACACTGTAAATATGAACTCTGAAAATATCAACTCTGTAAATAGGAACTCTGTAAACAGGAACTCTTTAAATAGGAATTCTGTAAACAGGAACTCTTTAAATAGGAACTCTTTAAATAGGAACTGTAAATAGGAACTCTGTAAATAAAAACGCTCTAAATAAGGACTCTGTAAAAAATTAACTCAGTAAAAATTGTCCTTCAGGGGATGTCCCTTAATGTTGGTGAAGTGCTTTTGATCTAAGGAATCAGAGCTAACCTCCCCTTCTTTAAATCAACCCTGACTACTTCTCATTCCCAAAGCAATGTATGATTCATGCGGGTTTAACGCCTGCCAATGAATATAAAAATAATGTATAAATCTAAATTAAGTTTAAAAAAAATCACTACATATGTAAATAGACATTTCACTCACCAGCAAACAGCAGCAACAACATCATTGATCCTCGCCACATCTGCATGCAATTGTAAATATTAATTTATGAAAACTATACATACATATGTATATATGTATGTTATTATATTATATATATATATATATATATAATATATATATATATATATATATATATTATATATATATATATATATATATATATATATAATATATATATATATATATATATATATATATATTCTAAGTTTATGTTAATTTTAGTCTAGAGTTTTTTTTTAATAAAAAAACATGGTGCCTGTCCCAGCTGTCTCTTGTGGCCCTTTATTAGTAATTATTTCTGGTTATTTTGAAGTGATTTATGAGACTGGTTGAGATCATATTGTTTAATACAATAACATGAAGTGACTTTCTCTTGTATAAGACCCATCGTGACTTCTTTGTTTACCTTATTACCCATTATGGTGGCTGAAGTAAGACTTGTTGTTACTTTATGTGGTGGAACAATGATGGCGTGAATGGTGTTGCTGCTTGTAATGGTCTTGCTGCTTGTATGGTCTTGCTGCTTGTAATGGTCTTGCTGCTTGTAATGATCTTGCTGCTTGTAATGGTCTTGCTGCTTGTAATGGTCTTGCTGCTTGTAATGGCCTTGCTGCTTGTGATGTAACTATGATGATTCGAAGTTTGGTCTGTTTATGATGGGATTAAAACGGGAATTAGCTTCTTGCTTCTTGTGTTGAGACTAAGACGGCATAAGCTTCTTTCTTCTTGTGATCGAATTATAACGGGTCGAAACTTCTTGCTTCTTGTGATGAGACGGCTTGAAGCTTCTCACTTCCTATCATGGGACGACCCGAGGCTTCTTGCAACCCCGTCTGGAGTCGCTGAAGGTGGTATCGCTGACGGATAGGTAATACACAGTGACAGACTCCGAGTGTTTGAAGATTTACAGACAAAACCTCTCGAGTGGTAGATAGGATAAAATGGATTATCAAGTGAGTTTTCTGATTAAAGAACCGGTCCGGGTCCAAGGAGACAGAAGGGTGAGGATAATGTTCGAGGTCCAGGTACTGTACTAGATGTGTCTTGACAGGTCTGGAAATTCAGAGACTTCCTGGTGGCGGTGTAACGGTGTCAACATTAACGTTTCAGGAGCCTACTGGCGAGCACCTCTTGAAGTGCTCCACTGTGGTTGTCTGTCAGTGAATGCCTTCCAGGTAGCGTGTGTTTGTGAAGGTATTCGTGAGCGGAGGTGGGAATGGTAGCACGTAGTGTTGCGTCACCCCCCCCCCCCACCTTGCATGATCTTCCCATGTATCAGATGCAATGGAATCCAATTATTTCCTTCACGTCCCTCCCTTCCTATCTCTCTCTCTCTCTCTCTCTCTCTCTCTCTCTCTCTCTCTCTCTCTCTCTCCCTTCCCTACATAGAGACTTTCTCTATTAAAAAAAAATTGATCTTGATACATATCTATCTTGTCTTCTTTTTCTTTCAACTTCTCCCTTGTTACCCTCTTATTTATTTATTTATTTATTTATAAGCCGTAGATTGAAAATGAGAACAAGGCGATGCTTTAGTAAGAAAGGAAAGCATGAAAAGAGGCTTAAGAAAGGTCAGGTCACTGGAAAGGAAGGAGAGATCTAAGGGCAGGTCAAGATCCTCGTGATGTGGAAATTCGAGTTATTAATCAAGGTCTAAGAAGGTTAGGCGTCTACGGAAACCGGGACAGAAATTTCTGCTACAAATGTCCTGTATAAGACCTGACTGAACAAGATAGCATTTCTGAAACCTAGAAGCGAGAGAGAGAACATTATTATAAAACCAGATTATAGGATGGTTGTGGTCTCTAACACGACAGGAAAGAGCATAGTTAACATGAGAAAGGTGGACATAACTTTTGTTTTTTTTCATTCTACAGAAAAGAAATGGGCCAATTTCGCCCTTTTTTTATTTAAGACGGCAAAAAAAATAGAAAAAAACATACCTGAAAGTCTCAGTGAAAGAAATAACAGTCAGATTACTCTGATTAAGATCAATATAAACCTCGTCTGGTTTCCATTTCTTGTCTGCAAATTACTTGTGAATTTCTCCAGTTATTTTTTTAATCAGGAAGAGCAGCGACTATTGGGACATGATGGGAACTTAATCAAGAAGTGACCGGACATACCAGATTTATCAAGATGTGTCACACGTTGCATCCAGTTTATGCAAATTAAAGGTAATCGTATATCAAAGATGATCCACATTGATGATCCACATTGATGGGCCTCGTGTTGGGCCCCGAGTGATACCACACAGAACAAGACGCACTTGTGTCGGGCTGCTGATAGCAGACGGTCAGCAAACAGCAGTCGCAGCCACACTAGGTTATCACCAGCACCGGAAACCTGCAGAGCTAACCTGAAGAACCTCACCTCTACTTCAATAATGGGCAACTCAAAGGTGAAGATGGAGTGTACTTTAGCTCTCGCAAGACACAAGTTACAGGTGGTTCTTTGGCCGATCTGAAGTAGTTTAAGATTTAGCAACTTTCTTCGCAACACATTTATCATGAGATTGTAGCTCACAGCTACCCAGTTACTTTAATTACTGCAGTGTTCTCTCACCATCATGACGCCTTTGATGACTGGAGAAGCTACTCTGGTTCGGGGAAAACATCTGCGTATCTCCTTGTGCCTCTTTCTAATGTCCTTCACCTTCAATGTTCTTTCTCTAGTCCTTTTCATATCAGGCAACGAAGGCCTCAATTAACAGTAAATATACAAGTTTTTTTGTGTTAAAAGTTTTGTTATTCATGCGTAGGGAATTATATATAATATAATAATATATAATAAAGTGATAGTAACTCCAGCTCTGCTGGAACGAAGCTTCTGACGCTTCCAGAGCTCGTGAACCCTTAGTGTAATACTTGACGGTATCCTCATTGACGCACTGAAGTCTCCCAGCTCAGGCTGGCACCTTCCAGCACTGTGTGACTCAACAGTCTGTGTGATGGACTATAACAGGGAAACATATTTCGCTCTTGTTCACACTGTGTAATTCTCACATAGCATAGGTTAGCAGCACACTGCAGATGTATGCTAGTTTGCTAAATTGAAAAATGCGAGAGCGTAAATGTGACACAGCAGGTGTGACACATAGCATGTGTGACACAGAGCATGTGTGTGGCAGAGAGGAAGGTAGTCAATGACCACAAGTTAGAAGCATCACGTAACGAATTCAATTACTTAGAGCACCTTTAATGGAGATGTTTTGATCCGGGGACCTAGATCACTTGAAATACACGACGTTTTCAATAAAATGGCCCCATTGAGCGCCTTTGTGTCTTTTTCTCTTTTGGTTGGTGTACTGGAGGTTTAAATTTGGATGATTAAAAACAGGGCAAGATTCAGTGCTTGTAGACTAAGTGCTTGTAGACTCAGTATTTGTAGAGACAGTGCTTGTAGACTCAGTATTTGTAGAGACAGTGCTTGTAGACTCAGTATTTGTAGAGACAGTGCTTCTAGACTCAGTGGTTGTAGACTCAATGCTTGTAGACTCAATGCTTGTAGACTCAGTGATTGTAGACTCAGTGATTGTAGACTCAGTGATTGTAGACTCAGTGATTGTAGACTCAGTGATTGTAGGCTCAGTGATTGTAGACTCAGTGATTGTAGACTCAGTATTGTAGACTCAGTGATTGTAGACCCAGTGATTGTCGACTCAGTGATCGTAGAATCAGTGATTGTAGACTCAGTGCTTGTAGACTCAGTGATTGTAGACTCAGTGCTTGTAGACTCAGTGCTTGTAGACTCAGTGATTGTAGACTCAGTGATTGTAGACTCAGTGATTGTAGACTCAGTGCTTGTAGACTCAGTGACTGAGACCCAGTGAATGTAGATTCAGTGATTGTTGGCTCAGTGATTGTAGACTCAGTGATTGTATACTCAGTACTTGCAGACTCAGTGATTATAGACTCAGTGATTGCAGACTCAGTGATTGTAGACCCAGTGATTGTAGACTCAGTGCTTGTAGACTCAGTGCTCGTAGACTCAGTGATTGTAGACTCAGTGCTTGTAGACTCAGTGCTTGTAGACTCAGTGCTTGTAGACTCAGTGCTTGTAAACTCAGTGATTGTAGACTCAGTGATTGTAGACTCAGTGATTGTAAATTCAGTGATTATAGACTCAGTGATTGTAGACTCAGTGCTTGTAGACTCAGTACTTGTAGACTCAATGATTGTAGACTCAGTGATTGTAGACTCAGGGATTGTAGACTCAGTGATTGTAGACTCAGTGATTGTAGACTCAGTGATTGTACACTCAGTGCTTGTAGACTCAGTGCTTGTAAATTCAGTGATTATAGACTCAGTGATTGTAGACTCAGTGATTGTAGACTCAGTGATTATAGACTCAGTGATTGCAGACTCAGTGATTGTAGACTCAGTGCTTGTAGACTCAGTGATTGTAGAATCAGTGATTGTAGACTCAGTGCTTGTAAATTCAGTGATTATAGACTCAGTGATTGTAGACTCAGTGCGTGTAGACTCAGTACTTGTAGACTCAATGATTGTAGACTCAGTGATTGTAGACTCAGTGATTGTAGACTCAGTGATTGTAGACTCAGTGATTGTAGACTCAGTGCTTGTAAATTCAGTGATTATAGACTCAGTGATTGTAGACTCAGTGATTGTATACTCAGTGATTGTAGACTCAGTGATTATAGACTCAGTGACTGCAGACTCAGTGATTGTAGACTCAGTGATTGTAGACTCAGTGCTTGTAGACTCAGTGCTTGTAGACTCAGTGATTGTAGACTCAGTAATTGTAGACTCAGTGCTTGTAAACTCAGTGATTACAGACTCAGTGATTGTAGACTCAGTGCTTGTAGACTCAGTACTTGTAGACTCAATGATTGTAGACTCAGTGATTGTAGACTCAGTGATTGTAGACTCAGTACTTGCAGACTCAGTGATTATAGACTCAGTGATTGTAGACTCAGTGATTGTAGACTCAGTGATTGTAGACTCAGTACTTGTAGACTCAATGATTATAGACTCAGTGATTGTAGACTCAGTGATTGTAGACCCAGTGATTGTAGACTTAGTGATTGTAGACTCAGCGCTTGTAAACTCAGTGCTTGTAGACTCAGTGCTTGCAGACTCAGTGATTATAGACTCAGTGCTTGTAGACACAGTGCATGTAGACTTAGTGCTTGTAGACTCAATACTTGTAGACACAGTGCTTGTAGACACAATGCTTGTAGACACAGTGTAGTGATACTAAGATGTTCTTAACTGGTGGTATTCTTACACACACACACACACACACACACACACACACACACACACACTTCACGTCAGTGGCGTGTGCATGGCTAACAAATACTAGACCGTAATTAGAATAAGTGATGATGCAGACTTCGAGTACGCACCACCATCGTAGAACCCTCACCTAGCCAAGAACAATCAAGGTTCACGTTGCAACTGCTGTTCAGACTAGAACAAGAATTGAAGAAATAATAACTAGACAGCAGCATTAACAGAGGTATTTTCTAACGTAGTTTAATTCCTATTCTACCTATTTTAGCTTCTACCTATTCTAGTTTCACTCTGACTATCACCTAGTACTAGTAGAGCGCCTAGTGAACATAGTTAATTACAAAAGAATTACTGTCTTAGTTCCGATCATTTTTAAATTATTTCTTATTTAATATATTTATAGATGGGGTTGTAAGAGAAGTAAATGCGAGGGTCTTGGCAAGAGGCGTGGAGTTAAAAGATAAAGAATCACACACAAAATGGGAGTTGTCACAGCTGCTCTTTGCTGATGACACTGTGCTCTTGGGAGATTCTGAAGAGAAGTTGCAGAGATTGGTGGATGAATTTGGTAGGGTGTGCAAAAGAAGAAAATAAAAGGTGAATACAGGAAAGAGTAAGGTTATGAGGATAACAAAAAGATTAGGTGATGAAAGATTGAATATCAGATTGGAGGGAGAGAGTATGGAGGAGGTGAACGTATTCAGATATTTGGGAGTGGACGTGTCAGCGGATGGGTCTATGAAAGATGAGGTGAATCATAGAATTGATGAGGGAAAAAGAGTGAGTGGTGCACTTAGGAGTCTGTGGAGACAAAGAACTTTGTCCTTGGAGGCAAAGAGGGGAATGTATGAGAGTATAGTTTTACCAACGCTCTTATATGGGTGTGAAGCGTGGGTGATGAATGTTGCAGCGAGGAGAAGGCTGGAGGCAGTGGAGATGTCATGTCTGAGGGCAATGTGTGGTGTGAATATAATGCAGAGAATTCGTAGTTTGGAAGTTAGGAGGAGGTGCGGGATTACCAAAACTGTTGTCCAGAGGGCTGAGGAAGGGTTGTTGAGGTGGTTCGGACATGTAGAGAGAATGGAGCGAAACAGAATGACTTCAAGAGTGTATCAGTCTGTAGTGGAAGGAAGGCGGGGTAGGGTCGGCCTAGGAAGGGTTGGAAGGAGGGGGTAAAGGAGGTTTTGTGTGCGAGGGGCTTGGACTTCCAGCAGGCATGCGTGAGCGTGTTTGATAGGAGTGAATGGAGACAAATGGTTTTTAATACTTGACGTGCTGTTGGAGTGTGAGCAAAGTAACATTTATGAAGGGATTCAGGGAAACCGGCAGGCCGGACTTGAGTCCTGGAGATGGGAAGTACAGTGCCTGCACTCTGAAGGAGGGGTGTTAATGTTGCAGTTTAAAAACTGTAGTGTAAAGCACCCTTCTGGCAAGACAGTGATGGAGTGAATGATGGTGAAAGTTTTTCTTTTTCGGGCCACCCTGCCTTGGTGGGAATCGGCCAGTGTGATAATAAAAAAAATAAAAATTCTTATCCTTCAGGGAAGCCACCTTGATACCAACGAGGAGGGCTCTTGATCCGAGGTAATAGATTTATCCTTCCCTTCGTTGTATCGAACCTGCATACCTCACATTCCCCAGACTCTGCATGACCCCCAGCGGATTTAGTGCTCCCCGCCTTATTAAAACAGAAATGAATCTACATAAATTCTAAATATTAATAATATAATTTTTTTTTCTACAGATGTTACTGCCAGGAATTGTCTTCACTCTTGGTAAGTATCATATATATATATATATATATATATATATATATATATATATATATATATATATATATTATATATATATATATATATATATATATATATATATATATATATATATATATATATATATATATATATATATATATATGTATGTGTGTATATATATATATATATATATATATATATATATATATATATATATATATATATATATATAATATTATATATATATGTATATATGTATATATATATATATATATATATATATATATAATATATATATTTATATATATATATATATATATATATATATATATATATATATATATATATATATATATATATATAATATATATATATATATAGGATGGGGTCCACCTCTGGTGTAAATTGTGGGACCCATAGCCTCGGAGAAGTGGATAAAAAGGCTTCAAGGAAAAATATTTGGATTTCTTCCTGAAGCCGTTTGAATATTCCACTTCCCCTACCACCCCATCTTTTCATATTTATTTTTTTTTACTAATAGGAATATTTTATTACATAATATGGTACAGAAGATTTAAGAGATACATTATTGATATAAAGGTGGCATATACGGTACATGTTGTTACGTCTGTATCACCGATTATAGAGCGAAAATCTCATCCAGCTCCTCAGAGCTGGGGCGTGTGCCCAAAATACAGCAGGCATTACCCCTTTGAACAGCCGCACTGAGCCGCTGGAACAGAAAACTAGCTGCCCTGGGATCCCTAGTTACCCTGATGAGTCTTTTTCCAGCTCCTTAAGGAATTTAGATGCACTCTTTCCCCATGAGCCAAGGGTCTCTGAGCCTATGGGAACAAACATATAATGATGGGCAAGTTCTCCATATTTTCTAGACTTTTGGGACTCCTGAAGCTGGCAGCTGCCCCTCCTTCCTCCCTGGTGTATTGGAGATAGGTATCAGCCAGGTAGATGCACATGTATAGTCCCACACCCACCTGCTTCCCATCTGTCCAGGCTTGAAGGGTGATACCATCTGGACGCTTCTGGCTGCCATCAGATCTGCATAGTTGGGGTGGCTCCCTTACTGCTGGGCATCCAGCTGTTGTGAGGCTCCTCTTGATAATGTTATTTAACCTCCTCATGTCTTGCAATCTTTCCCTCGGATTTACGGCACACAAGACCATGGTACCCGAATCGGTCTGCTGCTTCACTGCCACAAATACACCTGTGTTCGGCGAGAATAGGGGCGGCAAGTCGAAGGGCAACACCGATGCGGATGGTCTGTGGGTCGAGACGTGTGCCAAGGCTGGAGTTGGGAACAGCCAACAGAAAGTCCCCAGCATGAGGGGCTCTCACTGCCGGAGGCGGGCTCTATCCTTCCCTGACACACTCTGAAGCATTGTTGAGGCAATATTTTCCACTATTGGACCATCCCAGTGCGATTGTTTGTAGTTGTTGGGGGGAGCAGGTCTGGCTCCAGAGCCCGTTAGATTATCCCAGATCATTGCTCCGTCAATGAATTTTTGGTCCTGGACTCCTATCTTGTCCCTAAGATGTTCAGGGAGAATCGCTGCTACAAGCTCTCTGGATGCAATACACGAGGACAGAAAAGCAGGTAGCGCAATCTGTGATGACTTGCGGACACCAATGCCTCCTAGTCTGACTGGAAGTGTAGCTTGGTTCCACTGCCCGTCTTCTAGAGTAAGGTTAAGTACTTTCGTAAAAATCTGCCTCAGAATACTGTCATATTCGTGCAGTATAGGGTTATCATATGAAGGTGCACATCTTAGGAAATATGTCAACCTGGGCAGACTCAAGCACTTTGTGAGAAGGTACAATGTGATAACTAAAATCTAATATATACATCATCTCATTATGAAAAATGACATTAGAGTCCATATGAATCTTTAACGAGCGTATTTAATACGTTCGTTAAACGTGTGTTTCACATGAGTTATACATGTGTCTTAAATATGTGACATGTCTATATACTATATATATTTAAAAGTGTGTGTGTGTTTGTTTCAGGTTGGTGGTGTTTAGGGCAGGTGATGTGTCACCCAGGAGGTCAAGAGGCCACTCAACACGTGTCTCAAATGCAGGCGAGTGTGTGTGTGTGTGTGTGTACTCATCTATTTGTGGTTGCAGGGGTCGAGTCCTAGCTCCTGGCCCCGCCTCTTCACCGGTTGCTACTGGGCCCTCTCTCTCCCCGCTCCATGAGCTTTATCAAACCTCGTCTTAAAACTGTGTATGGTTCCTGCCTCCACTACGTCATTTTCTAGGCTATTCCACTGCCTTACAACTCTATGGCTGAAGAAATACTTCCTAATATCTCTCTGACTCATTTGTGTCTTCAACTTCCAATTGTGGCCTCTTGTTTCTGTGTCCCCTCTCTGGAACATCTTGTCTTTGTCCACCTTGTCTATTCCACGCAGTATTTTATATGTCGTTATCATGTCTCCCCTGACCCTCCTGTCCTCCAGTGTCGTCAGGCCGATTTCCCTTAATCTTTCTTCATAGGACATTCCCCTTAGCTCTGGAACTAACCTTGTCGCAAACCTTTGTACTTTCTCTAGTTTCTTGACGTGCTTTATCAAGTGCGGGTTCCAAACAGGTGCTGCATACTCCAGTATGGGCCTGACATATACGGTGTACAGTGTCTTGAACGATTCCTTACTAAGGTATCGGAATGCTGTTCTCAGGTTTGCCAGGCGCCCATATGCTGCAGCAGTTATCTGATTGATGTGTGCTTCCGGAGACATGCTCGGTGTTATACTCACCCCAAGATCTTTCTCCTTGAGTGAGGTTTGCAGTCTTTGGCCACCTAGCCTATACTCTGTCTGTGGTCTTCTGTGCCCTTCCCCTATCTTCATGACTTTGCATTTGGCAGGATTAAATTCGAGAAGCCATCTGCTGGACCAGGTGTCATCTGCAAACAGGGACACTTCTGAGTCTAACCCTTCCATCATGTCGTTCACATATACCAAAAATAGCACTGGTCCTAGGACCGACCCCTGTGGGACCCCGCTCGTCACAGGTGCCCACTGTGATACATCATTACGTACCATGACTCGTTGTTGCCTCCCTGTCAGGTATTCTCTGATCCATTGCAGTGCCCTTCCTGTTATATGCGCCTGATGCTCTAGCTTCTGCACTAATCTCTTGTGAGGAACTGTGTCAAAGGCCTTCTTGCAGTCCAAGAAGATGCAATCAACCCACCCCTCTCTCTCATGTCTTACTTCTGTTATTTTATCATAAAACTCCAGAAGGTTTGTGACACAGGATTTGACCACCTGCCTCACCTAACCTAACCTACCACAAGCACCTGCCTCACCTAACCTAACCTACCACGACCATCTACTTCACCTTCCCTCATCTCTCAAATTTTTGCTGCATAAAACCACTACGAATAACAGTAATGACCACAGATTATATATATTTAACAGGTTCCCACAGCCCACTGGCAGCCAGTGGAGCGAACCGTACCCATCCTTCAAACTGGTAAGTTTTCTTGAGAATTTATCATTATTTTTATTTATTATTATTAGTAGTAGTAGCAGTAGTATTGTTGTTGTTGTTGTTGTTATTATTATTATTATTATTGTTGTTGTTGTTGTTGTTGTTGTTGTTGTTGTTGCCATCACATTTACACAAGGATAATAAAAAAACTATGTGCTTCCTTACGTCAGTTAAATCCGTGTAGTGTGTGTGTAGGGGAAGACGGTGGTGCTCCTGACTTCCCTGGGAGGAACTTACAAGACAAGACTGATAAATATCTCTGAGAAATTCTGAGTATATTCTATGTTTTTTTTTTTTTGTGTGTGTGTGTGAAATCGAGTCGTCTGTTATCTTAAAGTGACTCGGGAATTCTCTTGGACCTACAGCTCTGTGACCTGACTAAATCTAACCTAGTCTAATTTTAACCAACCTAGACTAACCTCCTCTAGCTTAACATCACCTCGCCTAACAACCCCCCTAACCTAACTGTGAGAGATAAGATATCTCGTGGGCCAAGAATTGTGTGAAGTGATATGCCAAAAGAAAAAAAAACATGCATCTCTCAGATGTAAGAACATGAGAAAGAAGAAGCACTGCAGCAGGCCTACTGGCCAATGCTAGTCAGGTCCACGTCACGCCCATTTAAGAAGAAAGGAGCACTGCTGCATACTTACTGGCCCAAGCTAAGTAGACACTTCCATCAGCCACACAAAAGCACTCCAAGTCCTGTTTTGGATGGGCTATCTGTAAATTGTTCCAAACACGAACGTCTGACCATTATTCTACCAGGAAACATTAAAGCTGGTATAACAAGTGTATATTTCTTTCTTACACGACCATCTGCTGAAGAGGGCCTCAGTGTGAGGCCGAAATGTACACAATGAAGCCGAAAATTGCAACGTGAGGCCGAAATGTAGATTGAGAGACCGAAATGAAGTATTATCTTCTTGTTTTATTGTCTCCGCTTGGGTCCTCTCCACATGCTACTTTTCTTGCAGGTGTTTCAACACCTGCAGTAGAGGAGAGGCGTCGTCACAAGCGTAGCAGCGACCTGTCGCCCACGCAGGCGGTAGCTAAGGACGACAAGGCGACACAGGCAAGGCAGGAGAGTCTCGACACTGCGACACAAGAAAGGCTGGACAAGGAGACACGCAAGGGCACAGACGACGACGCCACGGATGAACGACGTATCAACCACGACATGGACGAACACGAAAGAAAGAAACACAAGGACAAGAAGTCTGACGACTCAGGTGAGTTTAGGGTCGTGGGGGAAGATGAGTCACTCCTTCACTTGAGTTTAAGGTCGTGTGGGAGATGAATAAGCTCTTTTTCTGGTTGGGGGTCGTAGAGAGGTAGGTGACGAATCAGTCCTTCAGATGAGTATGTATATGGTCGTGGGCGAGAGGTAAATCAATCCTTCACCTAAATTCCTTGATGAACAGATTTTAAAATACAGGTTGTGAGCTTCTGCCTCAGCTCGTTGGCAAGGCTCTACCGTATCTAAATCATACCAGGATATCACCCATAACAGTCGACTAGCACTCTGGTACCTAATTTTTGCTAGGTGAACATAGGACTAGGAGCAAGGTAACTTGCCCTTACGCCTCGCCCTGCTTTAGAATCAATGTTGAAATCATGTTTATAGAATGATTAGAGAATGTTTATATTTGCAGTGGTGGAAGTGATATAGAATGTTGAAATTATGCTCGTAGAATGTTGGAATAGCGTGAATGTTGAAGTGCTCACAGAATGTTGAGATAAGGTTAACAGAATGTTGAAAGGATGCTAACAGAATGTCAAAATTGTGCCTATCGAATTTTGAAATGTTTACTGAACAGTTATACGATGCTTACCATATACAGTAGTTGAAGTCAACCGGAAGCTGCTGGCAGCGCTGGTGGGGCTGGTGGTAGCCATCTCTGTTATCATCATCATCGTCGTCTGCCTCTTGTTCAGACTCTGGATGGCAGCAGAGAAGATGGCAGATAAGTGTGAGATGATCCCAGCATCCAAGTCAACCTCCAACACCGTGAGGCCCTTGACAGCAACTAACAGCTTCATCCTCTCGTAAATAATTACGAGATGACTCCATCATCCAAGACAGCCACTGAGATGAACAAACTGAAGACAGCAACCAACAATTTCATCTCGAGACAGCCTCCAACACTGACAGATTCAAGACAGCAAAAAACAGCTTCCTCTCTTAAATCACTACTTGACAGACAAATAGCGAAAGTAAAATAAAATAAATAAGTCTGAAGGAGTTTAAGGAGAATGTAAAGAAGAGAATTTCTGTGAAACGATACATAAATATTTAATTAATTTTTAACCCAAGAGAATGACTGTAATGGGAAACCTTAATGCTAAAATTCTGTGTTAGAAGGCATAATAAGTAAATTTGCAGTGCAATGGGGAACCTTAACTGGAAAATTTCTAGAAATGGGTCTGGTAATGGGTAACACATATATCAAGATGAAGAAGAAAGTCTACTCTTGAAATATGTATGTGTACAAGAGGTAGTCGAAACTGTCAGCGGATGGAAGGTTGACTGGAAGATTCAGGATGTTAATATTCTAAGATAAGCAATTGTTGTGTTTGATCATTATTTAGAGGCGGCTAGAATAAGAATAAGATCAAGGGTAAATATAAGGAGAGGTATGAAAACTGATGCAAGTACATCTGGTTATAGAGTGATAAGAAGAGGTGTAAGAAACATAATGAGGACGGAAGAATGCTGTGTTAGAGCATGAAGCTGATTCTTGAGGTAAAAGGAGGGCAGGTGCAAAATAGAAGAGAAATTAACGGTGGAATAAGGAGGTGCAGATAGCTGTGACTTCTGAAATGACAGTGAGACCTGTAAGTCATTCTTAGTACTAGTCTCTAGTTTTCCCAGGAAACTACGTTTCATATAACTATTTTAATTATTCTTATATCCATGAAACAATATTGATGGTGAATATTGATTGTGAATAATGGTGACATACAGCCAGCTTCTTTGACATATTTCAACTATTTTAAGTTTGTTCAACTGATAAATATATCCTTGTTAAACCTTGTACTATTTCAGCCATATTATTATTATTATTATTATTATTATTATTATTATTATTATTATTATTATTATTATTATTATTAATATAGTATTGTGTGTTTACAGAACTTGTATTCTCTTCACGAACTTTCATTACCTTGTAGTTGTGCCTAAGCTTCTGTAGCTGTGAATTTCCGATTGATGAAAATATATATGAATTCTGCACTTCAAATTAATGCAACAAGATATTTGCTGTATAGATTATAACTGCGACAGACTAGAGCTTCATTCAGGAGGTCGACCTAACACAGCTGTAGTTCAATTGGTAAAAGACTTATGGATATTGTTGTTTATTTCCTCTATTTAGGTCACATAAAATATGTCTTAGTTCAAATTGTGTTATTTATTATTCCCAGTGTTGTTCATTATTGTGAAATAATCTTATTGCTGAAGAATGTATAAGGATAGTGATGAGGGGTATAATTTTTTTAGCAATATTTCTGACATATTGACGGGTTAACGTCGAATACACTTGTCTTGTACTCCAGGTGGAGTAAGTCAGGTAAACACATCATACACCTGTCTTGTACTCCAGGTGGAGTAAGACAGGTAAACACAGCATACACCTGTCTTGTACTCCAAGTGGAGTAAGACAGGTAAACACATCATACACCTGTCTTGTACTCCAGGTGGAGTAAGACAGGTAAACACATCATACACCTGTCTTGTACTCCAAGTGGAGTAAGACAGGTAAACACATCATACACCTGTCTTGTACTCCAGGTGGAGTAAGACAGGTAAACACATCATACACCTGCCTTGTACTCCAGGTGAAGTAAGATTGACAGGTAAACACATCATACACCTGTCTTGTACTCTAGTGTCGCGAGTGTTGAGGCTTCCAATCGATTCCACAAACTTCAGAAAAAAGTTTCGCTACACCTCAACATCACTCCTGATGAGGAGCTCGTAAACAAACTTGTCTACTTAGTAACTGGATGATAGACAGGTGTGATACTGGCTTGACTGGTTAATGTAAATGACAGTAAACTACCCTAGGACTCCATTATACTGCTAGATGATGGACTAGTTGGTTAGTTAATTGAGTTGAAAGCCTATCGACTACACTAGGGTCGCTAAGGCTGCATGCCACCTGTTCATCACCAGTCAAGAATATTTTAATACCTAAAATTGGGATTTAGGTAAGTTATCAGTGTAGATACACTGTATGAAATACACCTCTCAGTGTATCTGTCCTGCCGTTGATTAGCTGAATAACTGAATGTTGGAAGGCCAAATTATACCAGGTAGATTAACTATTTAATCTATTCTGTACGAACAGGAAGGGTAGTCAACAACTATATATCTGTCTCTGTCTGTGTGTCTCTCTCCTGCTTGGGTATTCCCGGCTAGGGAAAACCTCAGCTTCCCAAGGTAAATCATCACTATGACAGCATCCTTCTCACCTGTATCTTAACACCTGCTGGTCCTCCTCCTCCTCCTCCTCCTCCTCCTCTCAACACCTTGTTGACGAATGCTGGCGGCCACGGTATTACCCTCTCATGCTGGCTTCGGTATTGCCCATTGATTACAAGCGTTTCCTTGCTCTCTAGAACGTCAACACCAGAAAGCCTCCGTAGCAACACCTCAGAAGCAATACACGATGAACAACGACATGAAACAATAGAAAAAAGCGACACAGCAATAGAGAAATTACGTAAAACAACCGAGAAGTTACTCAAAGCAACAGAGTAACGACACAAAGCACCATAGAAAGAACCCAGAACGTCCAGCGAACGACACAAAACAAAAGAGCAGCAATGCAAAACAACAGAGAAACGACACAAGACAACAGAGAAGCGACACAAGGCAACAGAGAAATTAGACAAGACAACAGGGAAACAACACCAGACAACTTAAAAACGATACAGAACGACGGAGAAAGAGACGACAGAATCAGGGACGGCAACAAGTTGAAGATACATTTGCTCACAGAAAATTTAAAAAATGCCAGAGTGCTGCTCCCTTACTCTATATGACATTACACTGTAGGAACAACAGTTGCTTATAGTAGACGAATCCCCAGGTACAGACACAGACACGAGAAAAGATAATATAGAAACCTTATCATAGGATTCACAACTGTAACGAGAACTTATGGTTTCTACATGGGGCACTGTGGGACATCGTTGGTGTAGACCAGAGGATGATCAGCCACTGAACACGGTCTTTATCTCGTTAAGGCCTGCGTCACAAGATGAATTGTTTTATTTCGTGACGAATAAACCACTAACGATTGCTGGTCTGCATGTTTTGATCTTGGTCTGATGAGGATCTCTGACCCAGACCGAAATACACTGATCAACTATTCCGGCATGTATGTCTTCATATGTGGTATCTGTTCCCAATCACATTTTGTTCACTGTGGTTATTTTGCATACTGTGATATCATATATAATGACACCTACTGTATGAAATTTTCTATTTTCATTTCATTGGATATTTCTATGTTCAACTCAGATACCTTTCTTTTCTGCATCTCTTCATATCTTTATTAACCTTATGGCTGAATCTCAGCTTGGTGACTGTCTCAAGTGTTGCCCTACACTCCTATGATAAATAAGACATGTGCAACAGTTAGTAAGTTTATTTAAGCACGGGTATACATACCTACAATTATCATACGTAGTGTAAATTACCTAACATAAATTACCTAAGATAACT